CGTGGGGGTGCTGCTCAACGGTGGCTGAACATGAGCCAGCGCATGCCCAGTTGGGCAAGAAGGCCAATGAACAAGAAATAGTGTGTCCAGCAGGACTAGGGAAGTGACCATCCCCCTGTACTCGGCACTGTTGAGGCCTCACGTCAAATCCTGTGTTCAGTTCTGGGCCCCTCACTAGAAGAAGGACATTGAGGTGCTGGAAGGTGTCCAGAGAAGGGCAACAAAACTGGTGAAGAGTCTGGAGCACAAGTCTTATGAGAAATGGCTGAGGGAGCTGGGAGCTGGAGAAAAGGAGGCTCTCTACAGCTACCTGAAAGGAGGTTTTAGAGAGGTGGGGGTCAGTCTCTTCTCGCAGGTAACAAGTGACAGGACAGGAGGTAACAAGCGTCAAGGGACGTTTAGATTAGATATTAGGAAAAACTTCACTATAAGTGTTGTCAAGCATTGAAACAGGCTGCCCAGGGAAGTGGTGGAGTCACCATCCCTGGAAATGATCACAGACCATGTGGATATGGCACTTGAGGACATGGTTTAACGGTTAACATGGTGGTGGTGCTGGGTTCACAGTTGGACTTGATGATCATAGAGGATTTTTCCAACCTTAACAATTCTATGATTCTATGAATCACAGCTTGGACTGGACCCAAGCTACAGTCTGGGTCCAAAGTCCATCTAGGAGACAAGCTAGTTCCAGCACAGATCTCAGGTCCACCCAGGAGACAAGAGTGCAGGTCAGCACCCTTCCCTACAACATTGCTTAGACAAGGACCCCAGGCCCAAGTCTGAGCTTAAATGGGATTTCTCAGCCATAAGTGGGGTGAAGGTCCGAGATGAGGTTGGTCAGGGCAACTAAGGGCCGTTGGTGCACCCAGGACAATGACAGCAAAATGTTTGAGAATTCCAATAGAATCACGACCCCCATTTGAGGTTTATTTTATCACAGAAAAAAAAAGACTGACTAAAATAGGTCCTTAAATATGCAGGGAAAGGTAAGGAATACTACGCAGAAATAGCACAATGCTCTCTGGTGGTGTTGTTTCAAAGCTCTAATGTACAAGAAAGGCAGCAAAATCCTGCAAGTACATAGAGGACTGGGTAAATACCCAGAGCTTTCTCTGGTTCATAATGTACTGTTGGATAAGAGTTTTTGTCTACATACTTAATTATCCCAAACCCTAAACGGGCACAAAAAGCTGCAATGTTCCTGGAATTAGTATTGTATCACTGCAAGTTATTAGTAATGTTGCTATAACTCATACTTGTAAGCTAAGAGGATGCTTCAGTTTTGGAAATTTGCTTAATGAGGCATATAGCTCTTCTTTTGCCAATACAGTTTCAATCTCAAATCCTGTCAAGCAGGATTTATGTGCTTTTGTTTCTAACACAAAATGAGAAATACAATGCTACATGCCATAGAACAATTCAAACAACTACTGCCTTGTTGTTTACACAGCTTAAATTACATGCTAGTTTAGTCATTATTCAAAGTAACATTACAAGTGAGAAAAAATCAGTAATCTAAATTCTGTCTCAAAAATAATTAATTTGAGTAAGGCTTGAAGCTACTGTTATCAGGGCAGAAGTTTGTCCAAAATGATCAAATATTTAAGAGGAAGCAAGAAACCACTCCAGCTCTTTGTTTTCCTTGGGCTATGAGGTAGACTCAGGGGAATCGCCTGTGTCAGAGAAATGTTTATATTGGGAATTAGAGGATTTTATAAGATTTAATTACAGTGGATTTTCCTCCACATAGTAGAAGCTACAGAATGGTAAGTCAGTCATCTGCTTTTAAGCAGAATCATCACAATTAGAGATAAAAAAGCACAAATTGTTGAGCCCATCCTCTTGAAAAGGCAGGCTACAATTCCCTCATAGAGGATATAGTGGATACTAAGATTATACTCCATTGAACAGCAGCTAAAAATCCATTTAATAGAGAGGGGCTGACCCATGAAAAACAGATTAGATAGGATTTTGTGGCATTCAGATATTTCATTCAGAACAAAAATTATCACATTTTTACTTATTTACAGTGTCATTTTGAGGAATATCATTTTACAGTTTCCAAGCTTTGAAATGTGTCTCTCATGAAGATGACTTGTATGATAAAGAATCCAAGCCAGGCTGAACATGAATTAAAAAATAGTGCCCACTTTTTAAAGTAAAAGAAAGGTGCTTAACAAAATCTCAGCAATACTATCCCTAAATACAGACTTGTATGCTTTTAAAACTAGCCTGAAGTTATAGCTGATGGCATAAATATTCAGCAGGTAGTAGCACAGTTAGTATGCTTCTCTGTGTTTTGCAGAAAATCTTCCATTTAACTGTAATATATTCCCTAATCAAAGGGGTTGCATCTCATAATTGCCTCTCTCATGCGACCAACTTGCCATTAGTGATGATGATGGAATAATTCATACAAATAACATCTGGGAATTATGTTTTATGTTGTTATTGATAGATCATTTAGAAGAGATGGCTTTGTCATCAGACCTAGTCTCTCAGAAATAAAATCTGGAATAGTTTCAGGCTCTTAGGAGAATATGGGCTTTGTCTTTCTGACTTTTTTATAAAATCATACTGTGAATACATAAAATGCATTCATTTCTTTTACACAAGATGGCAGGCACCAGACAGCCAAGAGCTTGAACATGATCTCTCTGTTACGGAGCAGAGGCCTGCACTTGGCCATCCCTCCGTGGGAAGCGCAGACTTGTGGCACAAGGCTTGAATATTCACTTCACTGAGGGTTTTTTCCTAACTAATTGCTCTGCAAAATACATATTCTCTTCCATAGAAGACTGCCACAGATATGATCATCTGGAAGACATCCCACTTTCAAAGGACTGCCCTTTGGCACAACAAGCTGCTGTTAACACTGCTCTGGCAACTTACAGAGTCTACTGCTGCCCATCAGCAGCACATACATTAGTCTCTCTTGATTGAATATTAGAAAAGTTTGCAAGCCATCCTGCTGGCTCACAGCACATTAATACATTTATATGCAATCTCATCTATGAGCAAACTGCAGGTTACTAACTAGTTTAGACAAATTGCCTTTCCTAGCTTGGAGATGTGCCTGAACAGGGCTACAGATAACCAAGAAGAATTTGCAGGCAGACGCAGAAGCAAGATTGCACACATTTTGTGGAACCCTACAACTTTCGTGAACTGATGAGTATGTGGGATTTGAAACATTATTGATTTTATTAATTATAATCATATATCTACTAGTAAAAGTCTCTTCAGTTAATGTAATTAATTAGCAGTGCTTTTATGCTGTACCTCTTGCTCTCTATGTATTTAACACACAGTAAGTGTCATCTTCTCTCTGATGATCATCCTCTGCTTGCAGTACAGCTTACAGGAAACATTAATGAGTGCAAGTACTTTATCAGATATATATTGTGTTGATTAACACACTCAGTAAAGGGAACAGAACCACATAAACCACTCTGAAGCAGTGCTCTTAAAATGTAACCTAAACTTCAGTAGGCTTAATAAACTAATTCTCAAATAGAAACTCTTTCTTTGATTTTCAATTATACCTTTTAGAAATATTATTTATATCAAAAGTTTTAATGCATATTTTCCAAATATTTTTTAAGAAAACCCGCAGGCTCCTCTGTTTTGTGCAAAGCATTTTTATTTTAAAAGTCTGTTTTTCATTTAAAGAAAATTTTATCTGATGTATTTTCAGGGAAATAAATTTGCAGACAAGGACCACTACCCTTTGAAAAAAATTAGAAGAAGTTATAGCTATAGCTCTAGCCAGAGTGATAATAAACATCTGCCTTTCAAAAAATCCACCATGAACAAATAAACGTATAAGGTGAGATTAATTTATGGTTATAAGTTCTTCTTGAGATGCCAAAGCAAAATAGTTATTCTTCGTGGTTATTGTAACAAGGCTTACTGGAACAATTATTTTCTGGAAATTCGGACAGGGACGACACAAGCTTACAACAGAAGGCTGACAAGGGTCTCAACTCCTCCCAGGCTCAGACATGAGCCAAGGGCAGCACCACTGTTTTACTCCAAGTCCCTTTGTAGCTAGGGAGGAAAAAAAACATACAAGGAGGACACGAAACGCAGAGGAAAAGGCCAGTCACTAAGCAATGCTGCATTTGTGCTCCAAAACATCCCTTTACACAAAAGGGTAAATAAGGACTCTGCAGACTTCCCATTCTGACTGGGAGAAGTTCCTGCTTTAAGCAACAACCTCATTATACATTGTTCACTGCGGGGAAAACAAAGTCACCCCTGGAAGGAGGGACAAACAAATGAGAAACTTTCTGCTGGCCAGCCTAAGGACACCCTATGGGCCTTGTGGCACAGGACCTCCCCTGCTCACAGATGCTATACAAATTCAATTACACCGAAGAGTGCTTCAGTCCAACTCCACAGTGCCCAGCTCAGATCTGTAATTACTTCCATATTCTATTATAAAAACAGCCATACTGCCATGGGCCTGAAGCTAGCATGTATTCAGGGCTTCATTATATATACTATCTCTAAATGTTTCTCTTAATTATCTTTGGTCCCTAAGAGAGGCTTGAGGCCTTTCTCATTTGCTCTCTCTTCCAGTATGGTTGGCTTGATTCCCGAATCAAAAGACTGAAATGGGATGGGAAATCACAACAAGTAAACAAGTATTCTTCCAAATGCATACACTTTTATTTGTATTATTTTAGCGGTGTCAGAAGTGCCATATTAACAGCAGCAGCACGAACAGTATTGCAGACACGGGTATATACAAAGAGAATGCTTTGAGTGTTTGCTCAAAGGACAGCTCAAAGGCAGCACAAAGGACAGTCCCAGACCCCCAGGCATACTCTATGCATCTGGTACACCACTGGCAGGATACCTGAATTATCAGAAGCTGGTAATTCTGGCATACAGAATACATCTTTTATATACAGAATGTTATGCATCAACTCACTTCTCTTGTGTAAAAATGGACTCAATAACTGAATAAAAAGAACTTCCTGCACACTTACCGAGGTGGTGGCACTTCTCTAAGGATTGCTACAAAAGCTGTCTCTCTCAGATGTTGGGACCACTGAAAATACAAGGGCAGAAAAGAAAATGTATTAGCTCTCATGCCTTCATGTTTCAGTCTGAGTAGTAATTAATATTTTTACCCAGGTAGCACAGAGATACCAACTCCTCATGGAAATAGAGGTCCCTGCAGACACTCTGTCTGTGCACGATCCTGAATTCATAAGAAAGGACTCATTTATTTCAGTGGGCTTGAAATGTGTTTCTTGGATACCACCAAGAATACTATTATACCAGAGTTAGTATTACCAGCGGTTTGCACTGGTGACAGACTGCAATGCTGCAGCTGACGCAGTTCAGGGAATGCGAGTTTAATACTGATTTTACATGTTACCTAGGATTCAGAAAATCAAAATACAAATTTCTAGAAGACCTTACTCCAATTTTCCCAGACCCTGAGATGGTCTAATTCTCACCTTAAGTATGCGTGGTGCTGAACACACAACGCTTGGGCTCTAACCTGTGAGCAAACCCAGCTCACATCAACTACAAACAAACTTCTGCTAGACATGAACGGGTCTGAGTGTGTCCTCTGGCTCCAGCTGCATCTCTCAGCTATCACTGCCCACGCCGTGCAGTTGTTAGCAATGATGCGGGCAAGGACACCCACTTTATTTTCGGGCCAGCACCGCCATTTGCCCGCGGTGGCTCCAGCGCCCCCTTCCGGCGCTGCCCGGGGCTTCCTCAGCCCCCTCGCCGGAGGAGGCGCCCGCGGGCGCGGCCCGCGCCTCTCGCGGGAAGATGGCGGCTCTCGCGAGAGGCGCGCGGCGCGGCTGCCCGTAGCTATGGCAGCGGGGGATGAGCGCGCCCGGCGGGACCGCGCGCGGGGACAGGTAGGGATTAAACCGCTCCCGGGAACGCTCGGCATTCCTCTCCTCCCGCGCCGCCCCCTCGGGAGAAACCACGGCCACATCCAGCCGTTCTCCGGCGGCGTGTTCCCTGTGGCCGGAGCCCCGCCGGTGGCGACCCCTGCCCTGTGCAGCGGCGCAGCCCCCGTACGGCGACCGGGCCGCGGCGGGGTCCGTGCGGGGCTCGGCCGGGCCCGGCCCGACCCTGGGGGACCGCGAGCCAGGGGCCCCCTGCCCTGCACGCCCGCGGCTGGTCAGCTTGAGAAGAGGAAAGGAGTGGCAGGTACGAGAGAAAGAGAGGACTGGAGGCTAAGGAGGGATTTTTGAAACGAATATCAGGGGCTTTGCATTATCTTGGTTAATAATTCAGGCGTGATCGGTTGCCGTCAAAAGTTAAACTTGCATGGGAGCTGTCGGTTAGAAGAAGCTGCTCAGTATTTAACTCACTATGTCGGTCTAAGGTAGGCAAAAACATGTGCTTTTTTTTTTCCTTTTCTTTCCCTTAAAAGAAAACAGAGGCTGTTTGCTTTTCCAGGATCTGATTTCGCTTGAAACCATTCGTTCAGTAGAAGGATTATGAGTGGACAGTCGTGAGGATTACAGCCATAAATAGAAAGCATGACAATATACACCTTCTCCTTTTGAAAAGTTGCAGGCATAATGGCTTTCTGGTCTTCCAGCTACGGGAACTTGTGTGTATTGGAGTGGCTGATTGTGTACGTGAAAAGAATTTGAAGAGCTTTTCAGATTTCAGAACAAATTCTGAGTGTTTTAATCATGGAAAAAATATGCATGTGAAAAGGGAGGGAAAGTAGTTGTGTATTTCTCATGCAGTTTGGAAGAAAGACGAATGTACTGAAAATAAACCTCTCTAAGCTAGTGCTACTCTTCAGACTTGAAAAAAAATATCTACAACTGAAAGGTATTGTCCTCCAACATACTTGACATTGAATAGCAATTTTGGAAAACAATAGCTACATAAATAGTCTTATGTTTGTTTCCAGAGGGAAAGAAAGTACTGCTGTGCTGAGAACTGGTGAGGCAACACATAACTTGAATATGACAGCTTTTAAAAATAATTACCAAAAAAGTATTATGGGCTAAAAAATACTTAAATCAGCCTGAAATATGTTCTCATGTAGGAAGCGGTAGAAATAATGACAATTTAATTAGATAGGATACTCTTTAAGTTCTATTCTACCGCCTAATCAAGACTATATCTAATCAAGCATGCTGCATATCAATCAGACTTAATTAAATAGGAGCTTTATTTTTTTGCCTGTTTGTTTCCCCCTCACCTGAGTGATGTCACTTTGGAAGCCTTTTGCCACAATATTCTTGAGGTGGGATGGAGGACTAAGGGTGTGCTTGATTTGTCCAATGCAGACAAACTTACTTACAGTTATCCCAGAGAATTTAGAGATTGGAGGGTTTTTTATGCTAGTAATAGCTGTAAAAGCATTTAATTTCTTTCAGGCATTGCAGGTAAAAAATATGTCAGTTCTTTCATTTCTGGGTTAACAGTCTATTTTGAGAATGTAGTCACAAGTTCGTTAAAAAGGATAATGGGAATTTAAATCCTTCTCTATCCAGTCTCGGAGATGTTATTAGGCATTAAGCCTTCTTAGGGGAGTTTTCATGGAGAGTACATAGAAGAGAAAGTGTGTTTATTTCCCAGTTTGTGGAGTTTCAAAAAGTTTGTTACCTTGAGAGGCTCAGTGTTGGAGTGCTGTATAAACATACCCGTATAAGGAACAGTCGTAGCTGACCAGAACAGTTTTTGGTGGAACTGTGCAAAATGCAGATGATATAAAAAGGAAACTGAGATAAGAGGATGAAAGCATAATAAAAAGTCACAGCTATTGTTTTTTTTTTTTTAAATCTGTTCACCTGACTTCAGAACCAGTAGGTGTCTTATAATAAACATGCCTGTATAACTTATTAGTCTATCATTTTTTCTCCTGCAGCCTTTTGAAATCTAAGTACCTTGCACATCCTTTGGTTTTCTAACATATGTTCCACTCACATTTAATCAAACAGTTTAAGTTGTTCTCTGAAATATTTTGCTTCTTTTCTTTGTCTAAACTTTGCTCTTTAGTTTATTTTTTGTCAATAGTGGCTGCAGTCAGAATTCTAAAGTTATCCTATATTTCTGTCACCGCAGGTCATTCCCTAGCACAGATATGCAGTGCTTGATGGCAGAGGGGAGCAGCAAGAAATCTTATTACTGACTGTCAAAGAATTTGGATTGACTTGCACGAGTCTCTCTACTGGTCCTGTCAACTGCAAGTCAAGCAGTAGGCAATCCTCAATCCTTAAGATTCTGCCTTCATCTGTAGGCAGCCCCTTTCCCTTGGCTTGCACTCTGTGTGAGACTGCTCAGAGGAACCGTCTCCTGGTGTAGTCTAGACACTTTCTAAGACAAGTGACACAATGTAGTTGGTCTCTTGTTGTTGTGTCTCTCGACATGCAAGTTTAGTGTCCAGTTTAGTCCTTCTTTTTTTTTCTGTCACTTGATGCATGGGGTTTCCTGTTCTGTGACCTAGGGAAGTTGGGTTTGGGTGCATCTCACCGGCCACTGTCTATGGGAGATGGGGCTGTGTTTGGCCAACCCAGAGGATGACTTGGCTATGCTGCTCTCTGTTAAAACCTGGTGTCTCTATGCACTCCTGTAGCAGTTATTGCTTAGTAAAATGGAGAACGGTGCTACCTGTTGAGTACTTAATGTGATTGCTCCCAAACTATTAAGAAGCAAAGGAAAGGGCTAGACATGGTTTTGAGGCTTTATGTTCAAATTATGAAGGCATGTGGAAAATTACGTACCGTTATGATTCAATCCATGCCTTTTCTGTCTAATAATTTTGAAGAAATACTTTAAAAATATGATTTCTCTAGTATCATTCATAATAATTTATAAATAAATCTGTTTCTGAATTAAACCTATCTGCAGGAAATACAATTCTTGCTCCTACAAATCTTGTTTAAACATTTTGGCTACAAATGGAAATTTTGGAAACAGAAATTAAATTTGATATTTCTTTTATAGAATACTGTGGCTATTTTCTTCAAAGCGTTCAGCCTTAAGAAAAGCATCTTTCAACAAGATATCCAAAGAGATCTTTAAGCGGCACTGTGAAATTTGAGCTTTAAAATCTTCATATTGGTGTCTCTTCTTTCTTCATTAATATAACTCCTGAAAGCTTTGTACTGGTACAGAGGAAATTACAGCTGGGTATCTGAGAGTCAGAAGTAACCTTTATCCACAGAATGCTGTGTTGTGCTACTAGTGGTGTAACTTTCACTGTTCCTCTGGCACTCTCCCGAGACCCTGGTCTGGAGATGGTGCCTGAGGAGGAAGAGATTATTTCTGCTTGTTCGGTTTTTTGTTACGTTCCTGGGGTGAAGTTGTTTTCAGAAATGCAAATTGTAATGTTGAATTTTGAGTTTGATGGGAACTGGACTGAGCCTGACAAATCAATTTGCAAAGGCCAGTGTTGTCAGATGATAATAGCTTGCCTTCATTACCAACCAGTTTAGGTTTGAACCAATGACCTAAAGGTGAAAAGCTCACTATTGCATTACGAATCCTCTGATCTATCCATATGTTCTCTTGTTTAAACTCCCTGTAGTCCTCTTAAACAGAACATGCAGTAAATACTGAGCATTGTTTTGCACTTGTAAATATTAGAACAGTGTCCATTCCAGTTGCCTGTTGTGCGTGTGAGGACACTGCAGTTAAATATAGCAACAATTTCTTACACTCTCTGGCTTTTCATGAGAAACCCTCATACAAATCCAACCATATGGCAAACCCCAGCATTATCATAAAACCATTAACAAAGAACCTTTTGCTACCATTAACAGGAAAATGAATCTACAGCTCTAAGCAGCATACTGGGAGTTATTAATAAACATCAGGCTACTGCTAAGAAAATGAACTTAAATGAAATATCATTAGGAGCTGAGTCATTCCACCAACACTTCTGCATGTTGTTTCCAGGTTTGTATTTATCTATGAAAGCCTTTTCAGAATATATTATCATTATTACATGTCTACTTTGTTCTTCATTGAGTATCTTTTAATGCTGTAGAAAAGCATAATGGAGAATCATTTGCATAGATTTCATAAAATAGATTCAAAAAAATATTTGCAATGGTGCGTACGGGAGCTCCTGATCTATTTTCCCATTCATTCGGAGGTAAGATGTTCCTAGGCAACCTACTGAACAGGATGAGGTCAACAAGTGTAAATGCTTCACCAAGTGATTCTCGGCTTATAAAGCTGTTAAAACAAGTTACTGTCCGCAAGCCATAGTTTCTGTGAGCTACAGAAATAATAAAATTAACATTTGTATGTATTTGGATTGTCTTTTTATCTCCTTATCCCTTCTTCTCCAATCCTTAATCTCATTCTACTCTGTAACAACAGACACCACTGTGTCTGTACTGATTGACTTGCTGCCAAATCTAATATAAAGAGGTGAATTTTCCTACTTTCCCTTCATTATGAGAGAAAATTAGGTCTTTTTCCTCTGCCTGACCAACTGCTTCAAAAGGTGTTGCAAGGATACTCATTCTGATCGGATGCTTCTGTGGGCAATGAAAATAATTTGCTGCCTAGTTACTAATGAAACAAGGCATATGATCATGGTGTTTGATGTATCCCATTTGTTTTGTCCCCCTTTTTCAGTTAGAGCATATCTCTTGGAGCAGTATTTTCCTTTTTTGCGTAGCATTTCTGGTATACGGGATGTGATCCATAT